CGATCATGGAAAGAAAAGGACGGGCACAAATCGCTGGCAGCATTCTGAAGTGGCTTTTGGCATCTGCATTGCTCTACATAAACGTATTCGCCATGCATAAAAGGATTAGCATATAAATGTGTGCTATACCGAGAGACGCATGGCTCGCAGGCACCCATGTGACCGGCCTCACCTGCAAGAGAACTGGATGAGAACGCTCACATCTAAATTAATGCCACGCATGGATAATGTTTAACTTTATTTAACTAGTTTATTTGCATTTGTACAAAGGGGGCTAGAATTTTAGAAAAGAAAAAATCTACCACTGACAATATTTAAACCGAGACACAAGTAGGTGAACCACCCGTTTGAACAACGCATCAAGACAAAAACGATCATGGAAAGAAAAGGACGGGCACAAATCGCTGGCAGCATTCTGAAGTGGCTTTTGGCATCTGCATTGCTCTACATAAACGTATTCGCCATGCATAAAAGGATTAGCATATAAATGTGTGCTATACCGAGAGACGCATGGCTCGCAGGCACCCATGTGACCGGCCTCACCTGCAAGAGAACTGGATGAGAACGCTCACATCTAAATTAATGCCACGCATGGATAATGTTTAACTTTATTTAACTAGTTTATTTGCATTTGTACAAAGGGGGCTAGAATTTTAGAAAAGAAAAAATCTACCACTGACAATAAATAATAATAATATTTTTATTTTAGTTATATAAAAATACAATTATTTTTTACACACGTAATTGTTATATACACACACACACACACACACTGAGGGGAATTTATCAAAACTGAGGCAGCTGCGCATGGCAACCAATCAGCTTCTGTCATTTTCAAATCTCAACTAAAACAAACTGAAGCGAGAAGCTAATTGGTTGCCATGGGCAACTGCTCCAGTTTTGATAAATTCCCCCCACTGTGTATACACGCTACATACATACACATAGCTATCACCCAGCATATTCATCCAGCTCAAATGAAAGCCATGTAACCAAATCCATTGTATGTGACAGTAATTATGGCCAGAGATGAAAATGATTGGCCACAATAAAGTTAGGAGATGGATGTTATGCATTTATATAGAAGCAGCAGGAACAGGACAAAGAGATGCTCTGTAAACCTATACACATCCGGCATTCACCATGAGATTTTATTTTTAGTTATTTGTATATTTAATTATCCTTTGCCTCGTTAGAGAGATTATACAATTAAGATATAATTTGCAGATCATTACACCAGAAATGTCACGTTATTAAAACAGTTTCTGAAATACCAGCGCTTCAAAAACTGGTGGCATCTGGGGCAGACAGAATCTGGAGCAGTTGCCAATAGTAACCATTCAGCTTCTCTCTTTCATTTCTAAAGCCTAACTCGACAAACTGAAGAGAGAGGCTGATTGGTTGTCACGGTTGTGTCTGCTCCAGTTTTGATAAATTCCTCCCTATGCGTTTTGTACGTTAACAAACAACTGTAAAAGGTGAAAGTGTAGCAAAGACAAAACCTTTCTTTCTTCCCCTGTATAAAGTGGTGAAGGGTTAGAACCCGTCAGCTTTTCACTGCTGTTTGTCCCCGCTGGGGAGATTCACCCTCCCCATCTGTCCTGATGATCATCGTCACCAGTGAAAGTGAAGCAAAATCCTACATTCCGAGTTGTCACAGGAACACAGGTTGGACACTTTGCCTCGACGACGGTCCTGTGAGGCTCCGAAAACGTTGCATTCACATGTCATGCTAAAGGAATATGAAAAAAAAGAAGAGGATATTCCGAAGCAGAATGGTGTGCGGACAACATATATTCTAGATTGTATACTGTGGCGCCATCCGCCACTTGTTCCAGCACCCGTTGGATTCTGGGTACATCGGTACGGTGTGCAAAGGGGATATAACAAAGAAAATCTTACAGAGGTGGCAAGTGTGCCACTGACAACTAAAGGAGTTCCCTCAGGGGAGATTTTTCATCACATCCTGTTGGGCCACATGACAAGAAGTGAAGGGAAATCTCCTCAGGGGGGATAGAAGACCTGGCAGGGGTTTATTCAGAACTATAGATATACCATACATCTATTACTAAGATAGGGGAGGACACATGAATATGGAATTCAGGAGCCAGCTCCATTGACAATTAGGGAGAACATGAAAAGTTAGGCGCCAGCTGTAATTGTTAATGAGCAAAGGTGGCCTGGTTTCCAGCCCTGTATTAATAATATTCCATTGACAAAACGGAGTATTGGTACCACTTGCCTCCTCCATAACCGGAAAACGTTTCCCTAGAAAGCCCAATTATTCCTCAAAAACCTGTCACCTCTACCCGGGCACTATAGAACCAAAGTTATGAGGGTCATGTAATAAGACATTGGTGACACATTTGTGGCGGGGGGACACATATTTATTGTCAATACTGACACATGCAACAATTCAGACAGTTCTTTATTGCGACACATTAACGGTATGGAGCTATTGCTGTGACAAATTGAGAAACAAATCCCGCCATATCGGGGATAAGCAGAGTAGAATAAGACTCCATGTTGGAGTAAATTGGTGATTGTGTCACATGGAATTATTGTGTCGCATCCTTGAGACAATTCTGTGACAAAACTTGTCCCGTGAACTGATAGAAATAGAAACCTATTACTCCCCTGCCTGTAAAACTCCGACAATTCACAGGAGAGATGATGGCGACAATTCTGACAGAGTTGCGACAGATTCTTTCGAGCACCATTTATTTGATTGTTGGCCGGGACTGCTGAAAGGTGTGCGGAGGGCACCTCCATCAATTGCATCAGATTCATAGACAGCTCACAGACACGAACATGAATCTGCTGCACGTTCCAGCATTTGACACACTACAATCTCAAGACAGAACTCTAACAAATATTTATTACGATTCTGACAAATAAACAGTGAAATTCATAAGGGTGTTGTAGATGCTCATTAGAAATCTCTCTGGTGGTCATGTGACCAATGGCGCAACCTGCGACAGATACGGGCACGTGTCAGAGAGTTGTATATGAATCTGTCAGAATAGTCACACAATTTACTTCAGGTCTTATTTACCTCAACTTTTCTCATCACAGATATGGCGGCAACTTGTCACAGCAATAGTGCCATATAGCGAGGGTTTGCTTACACCAGGGGTGGGCCCTCCAGCTGTGCTTTCACTACAAATCCCAACATGCCTCTGGTAGCCAAGCCTTATAACAGTCAGTCTTGCAATGCCTCATGGGACTTGTAGTTCCACAACAGCTGGAGAGCTGGAATTGCCCACCCCTGGTTTACGCCATGTCCGTTGTGTGGTGGTGAGCAGAAACAGACAGCTCATACACAGTGTGAACAGGGCACATACATGTGCAGCCCTGTGAGGGGAAATGCAGCTCAACTAATATGGTGTAAACAAGCCCTAAAAATGTTGCAAGCATCAGTACTACGAAAATGACGCTTTGTTTCATTATTTGAGCACAGGCGCTGTTACCAACAATGAAAACGTTGTGCATGTGGTTACTAATAATTAAAAAGTTGCAGGGTTTCATGACTTTGCCACACTTGTCGGTAGTAACAATGAAAAAGTCACAAGTAGTTGGTAATTTGGCGCATGCATCATTACGGATGAGGAAAATGACGCAGGGTGTGATTTTGCACATGTATCGTTACAAACAAGGAAAATGTTGCCAGTTGTAATTCTTTGGCTCACACGTCAGTAGCAACAATGAAAATGTTGTACATGTGTTGTTACTAATAATGAAAATGTCACAGGGTTTCGTGAATTTGGCACACGCTTCTGTACCAACACGGAAAATGCCGCATGGTGTGATTAATTTGGTACATGCCTCAACAGTGAAAATGTTGTAGGGTTTCATGAATTTGGCACACGCAACTGTACTAACAATGAAAAGGTTTAGTAATCTGGCGCATCCATATTACCAACAAGGAAAAATATGTGCAGGGTGCGATTCATTTGGCGCATGCATATGACCAAGGACAATGTTGCGCAGGATGCGATTCATTTGGCACATGCATATTACCGACAAGGACAATGTTGTGTGATTCATTTGGTGCATGCATATTACCAACAAAGAAAATGTTGTGCAGGGTGTGATTCATTTGGCGCATGCATATTAAAAACAAGGGAAACGTTGTGCAGGAATTGTTGCGAATAGGGAAAAAGTGGCAGTGTCTCATGAATCTGGCACACACAACTGTACTAACAATGAAAATGTTGTGTTAATTTGGCGCATGCATATCACCGACAAGGAAAGTGTTGCAGGGTGTTAGTAATTTGGCACATGTATCATTACCGACAAGTAAAATATCTCGGGGTGTGATTCATTTGGCGCATGCATATTACCGACAAGTAACGTGTTGCTGGGTGTGATTAATTTGGCGCATGAGTCAGTAAATTAAAAATTGTATTTAAATAAAATTGTCACATGGTTTCATGAACTTGATGCAAGGCTTCTGACTACAACCACACCTCCACAAGTGTGCCACAAATACCTTATGGAATCGCCCCAAAATGTTTTAGGTTATTGATGTGAACTTCGGGCCCGATTATTGGTGCAGCATGAGAGATTGTACAGTTTATACCACTCAGTACACCAACGCATTTATTCTATGAGCCCGATATATCAGGATTCCTAATGCATGCTCCAGTTCAGTGCGACACGTGCATGAGAAATAGGTGGGGGGGATTCTCTATTTGCCCCATTTTGCACGACAGATACATCAATACGACTGCATATTTATTTATTATTCCACAAAGCAGAAATTATGGAGCAGTTGCCCATAGCAACCAATCAGCTTCTATCTTTCATCTTCATAGCTGAACAGCCGGAAGAGAGAAGCTGATTGGTTACTATGGGTGACTACTCCAGTTGTAGTGATTTCATGTGGCCCTGCTGACGGACTATGGGGCCACCATGAGAAAGTTGTGTTTACCTGTCTGATAAGCAGCCCCACACACAGAGTCCGTGCTGGCCCAGCTCCCAGGAACACGTGCACTCACCTGGAAAAGCCTGCCCTCGGCGGGGCTGACATCCGCCACCTTAGCGAACATCCCTTCCACGGTGAAGTTCGGGGTGTCCATCTTCAAAGGTTGGACCCGGATCAGAGCTCTCTGGTTGCTCTCGGTGACCACCAGCCTCGCCTGCACACTGAGCATGAGAAGCAGCCACAGGGATGCCAGCTGCAGCCGGGCTCTACTCATACTGCAGCCAGCAGCAGGCATCCATAGCGCAGCCTGCCCGTCCTGGGAACGTGGTGCCTTGCCTACCCCCAGGGCAGGGGACCGCATGCAGCCCCGTCCATGGCCTTAATCGATCAGTGCCCCCCTCTCCATTCAATAGCGTCCTCCTAGTGGCACCAACATCATCCCGGCGTGGAAACTCGGAGCTCCCTCTGATCTCCGGGGAGGAGGGGAGACGGGGGAAGAAGGTGACACGCCTGGCCGCCTCCCTCTGAGCTGAGCTCGGTGCACACACAGGTAGATGAGGCCGTGTGTATCCAGGCAGTTCCCCCCCTACACACTGCAGGCCCCCCGGACTCCGATCACATCCCCCGATCGGAGGGCAGCACACAGTGACCGATCAGAGGACGACGCTAGGAGAATGTCATCAGATCCGATGTACCGGAGTCAGCCGAATACTCTTCGCCCTCCTTCCCCCGGGACTGCCGCTGTGCCTCTACCTGCTGACACAAAGTGTGGGTGGAGCCGCTGCGGGCAGTCCCCGCCCCCTCCTCATCCTCCCCCCGGTCAGAGAATGCGGCTCTGCTGGCTCCCACACTCCCTCTGCAGCCGGCCCGACAGATGGCAGCTACCCCTGCCTGCTGTGTGATCGCTGCATGTGGGGTGTACGGGGACACTGCAATTGTCAGCAGCTCAGAGGACCTGGAGATCACTTCTAGAGCTGGACATTGAATGGCAGGCTGCGATTTCAGGGAAGATCAGTGCACACAGTTGTCACCCTAAGAATTGGAGATCAGGACACACAGTTGTCACCTAGAGAATTGGAGATCAGGACACACAGTTGTCACCTTGAGAATTGGAGATCAGGTCACAGAGTTGTCACGTTGAGAATTGGAGATCAGGTCACTGAGTTGTCACCCTAAGAATTGGAGATCAGGTCACAGAGTTGTCACCCTGAGATTTGGAGATCAGGTCACAGAGTTGTCACCCTGAGAATTGGAGAACAGGACACACAGTTGTCACCCTGAGAATTGGAGATCAGGTCACAGAGTTGTCACCCTGAGCACCCTAAGAATTGGAGATCAGGTCACAGAGTTGTCACCCTGAGATTTGGAGATCAGGTCACAGAGTTGTCACCCTGAGAATTGGAGAACAGGACACACAGTTGTCACCCTGAGAATTGGAGATCAGGTCACAGAGTTGTCTCCCTGAGAATTGGAGAACAGGACACACAGTTGTCACCCTGAGAATTGGAGATCAGGTCACAGAGTTGTCACCCTGAGAATGATCGGAGGGATCTATCTCATCACTACTATCCTATGTGTTAAGGGAGTGCATGCATTAACATGAAGTGCTGTACGTTACATGTTTTGGCGCATTGTGGTGCCATTTACTTTTAACGTATTAAAGTTGGCCATAAACAGCAGGAATTTCGAGAGTCACCTGTGGCTGGTACTGCTCTGTTCAACAAGTCCATTTTTCAATCGACTTTGTCAAAGGTGCCGAGCCAAAAAAGGTGCCGAGTTTTTTTTAACTTCATATTATTCAGGATTTTAGCATGCCAAAGCGGGAAATTTTTGACCTAAAGGGACGCTTTTTGGATGCCATGGACGTTCTCACGTTTCCAGGCAGAAAGAACAGTAAAAGTGCAGGCAGGGCACTGGACAAAGCTCTAGGGACAACATTGAAGTGAAATGATTTGATACAGAAATGTAATTATAGCAGATTACATTGTATTGTGTGTATTCTGTGTATATTGCATGTTTTCACTTTTGAATTTCCCGCTAGCTCCGCCCCCCTCTGTGACGCCGAAAACGAAACTAAAAGTCAGATATCGGCAGGACGCACACAGCAGAGGACACCACGGGCTCGTAGGGACAAGGTAAGTAACACTTTTGTGCAATCCTGAGTATGGCTCGGGGTTGCCTCTATTGGTACTGAAAAATAACCCCGAGCCACACTCGGGAATACCGCCAGGGAGGTTAAGGCAGAAAGACAAAAAGGGGAAATCGGGAGCAGCTGTGCATGGCAACCAATCAGCTTTCATTTTCAATACTTGACTGAGCAAACTGAAGATAGAAGCTGATTGGTTACTATGGACAACTGTTCCAGATTCTGTCTGCTCCAGTTTTGATAAATTCCCCCCCAATGTTATGCCAGACGAAGGGTCCCTTCACAGTTCCGAATTGTAGTTTTTCGATGTGATAATGCATTCGAGAATAGAGTGTTGCACTTTGAAACAAGCATGTCGGCGTGCTGAAGCCTTGTCTTATCCATGTTATACACCGAGATCAGTCGGGAGTCGTTGCAGGACCCTTTTGACCATGTAATTGATTCTAGTATGGTGTGCAAAAAGGATTGCACACCACACCACCTAAGGAAACACATGTGTTGTTATCTGCTGAAAGGCATGACACTGAAAGACATGGTGGTGAAATTCATAGTGCTAAAATTATCTAAAAGAGGGAGACTCCCTGAACATCAGGGAGACTTGAGATCCCTGGTATGGTGCTATAAGGCATAGCACTGACATGCATGGCTCTGAAATGCACTACGTTGAAAGGCATGGTTTTGAAATGTATGGATCTGAAATGCATTGTTCTGAAAGGCATGACGCTGAAATACATGGTTCTGAAGAGCATAGCGCTGAAATGCATGGTTTTGAAATGCATGACACGGAAAGGCATGACACGGAAAGGCACAACGCTGAAAGGCATGGCTCTGAAATGTATGGTGCTGAAATGCATGGGTCTGAAAGGCATGATTCTGAAAGGCAGAGCTCTGAAATGCATGGGTCTGAAAGTCATGATTCTGAAAGGCAGAGCTCTGAAATGCATGGTTCTGAAAGGCATGGTGCTGAAATGCACTACGCTGAAGGCATGGCTCTGAAATGTATGGGTCTGAAAGGCATGGTGCAGAAATGCATAGCTCTGAATTGCATGGTTCTGAAAGACATGGCAATGAAATGCATGATGCTGAAAGGCATTGCTCTGAAATGCATGACGCTGAAAGGTATGGCTCTGAAATGCATGATGCTGAAAGGCATGGCTCTGAAAAGCATGGTTCTGAAAGGCATGGCTCTGAAATGCATGGTGCTGAAAGGCATGGCACTGAAACGCATGGATCTGAAATTTCACCATTTAGGGCTCAGTGACAGGTTCTCTTGATAGGCCATCCACTGATACTTACCTTACCTGTGCTCTCATGCTGCCGTTTTCTCCTGCCTCAGCCCTAAATCCGATTTGCTGTGTAAGCATTGTGTCAGAGCTTACACAGGATAATTATCCCTCTTTCCTCCTCCCCATGTGACAATGGTCAGGCCTGGTGATTGGCTGTTTATGCCCCAGCACAGCTTCCTAGGAGGAAGGGGAGAAGGTCACATGTTCTTCCATAGTCAAAAATACTGTGTTTTTCTAAGGGCTCTGACAGATGATGAGAGCAGCGAGACAGCACAATAAAGATGAGTATCAGCTGGAGGTATTATTAAGAGAACCCGTCACTTTGCACATTAAGTTGCACAGGTGCATTTAAAAAAATGTATGTCAATTAGTAATAAGTTGTAATGTTGGCCACACACTTTTGGAGCTTTCATCAGCTTTCAACCACAGCAATCTGTCACTCATTATTCCATTTGTTTCCCAATTTGGGGCAATTAAATAAACATTGTGGTGGAAGTCTATAAAATCTCATTGCAGTCGGCTGAAAGGTATTGTTGCACACTGGTAAACAAGTGAAATTCATTATATTTATGCAGTTATGTATTCATTAAAATGTAATTATAGGTATATTTAAATACAACTATGGTAACGCTACAGCTATATGGGTGATATCTGATCATGCAGTCAGGAGACCTGCCATCCGTCATCTGCTTTAGTACACAATGGGGTTAATTTACTAAAGCAGTAGAGGCAGTTCACTGTACAAACTAAATGGTAATGAAGCAAAGCTGTGTCACTTTAAAGGAGAACTATGAGGTGAGTGAAAATCACTCGGCCTCATAGTTCTAAACGACCTGTGACAATGAAACTGTCATACGTCGGCTCAATAGATCGGGAAGTGAGCGAACACATACTGTCGCTCGCTCACTTCTCGATCCTGTCCTTGGAGAGAGCCGTGACTGTCACTCATGGCTCCCTTCAGGGATTCCCCCCTCCCCTGTCCGATCCTCCAGCGCTGACTGGCAGAACGGACGGGGGAGGGGGCGGGTACAGCTGGCTCTGCCTCTAGATAGGCAGAGGCAGCTGTCACTCACGCAGCTGGGTGGATCTCAACGGTAATGCCGGGAACCGTCCCATATGCGGCGTCCCAGTGTACCGCGAGCTGTAGCTCGCGGTATACTGAGCTTTGGATGACGGGAGGACGCTAGTCCTCCTGGAACCATGTAATGCTTCGCTATGTATAAATGCACACCTAGATGTTCAGCAGTATCTAGATGCATTTAGTTTAGCTACATTTGCATTGTGCATGTCATTTGCATTGTGGGCAGTAGTAGAATTTTCCCTATATTTTCAATGCACAACTGTGATTAGTCATATACTGTATAGTCACTACTTTAGGAGTTTGTGTAATGTTTATGTGGAACACTTCCCCTATTAGAATCCATTGGTTACCTAAGAAATACTGGCAAATCAGTGTACACAGAAGCATTACGCTAATGCATTTCTAATCTAATAAATTATCCAATATGGCCATTGTGGGTCTTTGTGGTGGGCTATTGTCTACTTTGAGCAGGGTTTCCTTGCCATACAAGTCTATGGGAATTCAGAACTTTAAGCAGTCATATGCTGGTCAGAAGATCAAAAGCAGGTCAGATAGACCGATCAATGAATTCTGAATGATCTCAGAACATCTGAAACTGATATCAAACCGATGCCATCGTCAACGTAAGCCCAAGTTCGTTCATACAGGCCCCAACTCCATTATAATAATGTTTCTGTCCATTTTGGGAAAACCACAATATGTTTGGGTGGTTGTCCATAAAAAAACCTATATGGATTATTTATTACAGGTATTTATATAGCACCTGCAAAAACAAAAACAGAACATTCACATCAGTCCATGCCATCATGGAGCTTACAATCTAAGGTCCCTATAGCACGCGCATACATACAAGGGCCAAGAAACTTTCCAGCATGTATTGTGGGTATAGGAGGAAACCGGA